GAAGGCTTATAAGGTGTCAGGGCTCAGGAGTTAGGAGCGTGTTTGTGTGTCCGCAGGAGCGCGGCGCTGACAGGGGAAGCGGGCTCGCTCCCTCCCTCATCAGCGGGCTCTCGCCTCACCTGGCGTGGCTTGTAAGCCTTGCTTGTAAGCCTTGAAGCGCTGGCCGACGGGTCGAGCCCCTGGAAGCGGGGTTTTGGGGGGCAGCCGCCGTCCGGCGGGCGGGAGGCAGGTCTGGGGCGGTGTCTGGAAACCGGCCTTCCGAAAGACCATCCTCGCTGCTTCGAATGGCCGCTGAAGAGTTGGATTCCGTGTAAACAGCATCTCCGACAATGGCCCGCGGTGAAGCTCCGGGAGAGGAAAGCGGGTCCGGCCGGCCGTGGGTTAAGGGATGAGCTCCGCTGTTGTCGGTGGAAATTAGCCTAGCGTGGCCTCGGGATTTCCGAGCTGCGGCAGCTGAAAGGGGTGCGAGGTGTAAGCGCTGTGGGGGCTGCTCAGGGTCTGTGCGTTTCGCTGTTCCCGCATCCCTGCGGTACAGGTGCTTCGCGGGACGGGGCTGCGGTGGCTGTGTGCGCGCCTCGGAAGCGGGAGCGAAAGAAAAACCGCGCTTGTACTCTAGCTGGCTAATGGAAGCCAGCGGCTTTAGGTTAAATACCGTGTCGTGGATCCTAGACCGGGCAACAGTTCCACCTCAAGCTGGTATAGTCCAGAGTTGTGTTACAGGATTAGTGCTGAACACCTATCAGACAGCTTGGTAAGAGGTGTTACTTAAGGAGATCAGTCTTTAACCAATAATTACATGAACTTGTATTGCTTTAGAAAGCAGCTATATGTGCGGGGTGGTTTCATTGGCGCTTTGGATGCTGGATTGACTTTTCTATTAAAAAAAAAAAAGCAAGCTGATACTTGAATTTGTTTCTTTTGAGAGACTATTTGTTTACCACAAGACCGTTATTGTGTAATAGTACTTGAAAATGTGAAACAGATGGATTCTCCCCAATCTAGCATGAATAAATTAATTTAGGAAGAAGGTGATCTTCAGGAGCACCAGGGGAAATGTTAGCATACAAGTGAGATCTGAAGTATTCCATTGGAAAGGTGTGCAGGGACGTTGTCTCTGTGAGAGGTCGTTCTGTGGGATTTTCTTAGTTGCTGCTCTTAAGTGTTGTTGCTCTCAAGTCTGTGAGGTTTCTGCATTTCACTAGTAGGTAGTGGAAAAAAAAAGTTGTGTTGTAACATTTCTCTTATAGGGATACATTGTAACTCTGTAAGTCTTAATGAATTTAAATCTGTAATTAAAAAGCAACCTCCTTTCTTAATACAGTTACCTATCTGAAAAGCTAGAAACCTAAAAAAATGCAGCAAGTGTGGAGTTTCAAGTATTTATTACTTGAAATAAATGTATTCAGTACATAGGGATTTGAAATTTTGGTAATACTGTACGAAGGTGCTTAAAAAGAGGTACTAAAGGTTATCGCTTGCTGTGATAAGTAAATGTAAGAAGTCATCACCTTAGATGACAAAAAGCATGGATGTGTTGAACAGGATTTAAGTGAGAAGGACATCAGCTGATATATTTCAATGTGCTTTTGCTGATTTAAAGACTGTTTTGCACTGAGTTCCTCTAGCAGAAGAGCTGTAGCAGTTGTTTCTGTAGCACCTTTTTTAAGAGTTGAAAATACCTTTCTCTGCCCTAATTAAAAAAAAAAAACAACCCCAAAAAAACCCCACAAAAAACCCTGAACAAAACCCTTAACAGTGCTAATGAATGCCTAGCTATTTGAATTGACCGGGTTTTCTGAATTGCTCCCAGTTCCTGTTCCAGTTTTCTTCTCTCTATTGTAAGAAAAACCCTCCAAACTGGTGTGTCATTTGAGTTCAGTTTGCTGATTGTGTAAGGTGCAAGCAGAGGAAAGACATGCAGACTTCCTGAGGTGTTCTGCTGTGGGTCTTGGCCTTGAACCAGGGGTGACCATTACTAGGAGTTAAAGTGTTCTCCATTATTGTTCAGTCTTTGGCTGTTCTGTTGAAACGGGATTTGACTGGTAAGTGGATTAAGACGTTTGATGCTTGTAGGCAAAATTCTAGTTTGAGTCATGAAATTAAGAAAAATGTTCAGATAAATAAAACTTTGTCATAAGCAATAATTAATAAGCTTTTTATGTTGGTCACTTAAAATTTGTGTAAAAGAAATGATCAATTTCAGGATGAGCATGTAAATAAAGGCATGTGCATTTTAGGGCATTATTGAAATCTTATTATATTCTTTGATTAAATTCGTTAATTAGACAGTGCATGTAGAATTATGGCATTGAAAGCTGTCTTCTATTTGTGTCACAGCAGAGTTCAGGTGTCCCATCTGGACTGAGATACTGTTGTGCTAATCTGATGGCTAGTCTAGCAAAGGGTTCATGGTGCATTTTGGGAAAATCTCACTGAAGTAAATCACTGGAACTGGATTTTCCCGTTCTTAACTGAATTGGTGAAATAATGTTATGCACATTAAAGATCAACTGCATTGAAACAAACGGAGAGACTAGGAGATTCCTTTGAATTTGGGGAAAAGCTGTAGCAAAATCTACCTAAATTCATCAAGTACAGTTTGAAACTTGTTTTTTGTGAGGTAAGATATTGGATCATGTGGAAAAATAATTAGCTTAATTATGCCCTTTGTACAATAAAGAAAATGTATTTTAAAATTTGTTTTTCTTTCTAAAAACAGTAGGAGAGAAAATGATCTCCTTGAACTCATTAAACCATTGTGCTCTGCACTAGTATTTACTGGTTTATATTGGAAAAAGTGGATAGTGGTACTAGCTAAGGATGTTGAATTATATAGTTAAATCCTGCCACCGTGCAGGTGTTGCTCGTAGGCTCTGAGCAGCTTTTGAGTCTAGGTCAAACTAAGGCATGATGAACTCAAGTTCAGCTGTGAATACTGTTGCATTTATTCTTGTTTATAGGTGGACAGATTTCAAGCTTGCTTGTTTGATATTGTTAGAGGGAGAAATACTGAATGTTTGATTCACCTATGAAAGAACATTGGATAAGAAACACTAGTTCATTGTTTTTCTGTAATTTGCTTTCTAGTACTTTGTTGTATTCTGAGACGTGTAAATAATGGCTTCTTGTTTCTCTTTTTGAGACAAGATAAAACGGATTCTGCCATGACTGTTCCTTATGTGTACTGAGAGTGTGTTGAAAAAATTTCTGGTATTTAACTCTTGATCCTGAGCATAAGTAGTTTGTTCTGTTTTCCCTCTGGTCCTAGAAGCACTAGTGTATGCTAACTTAAATGAATAATAGAACTACTTCAAGTAGTGAAATTAAGCATGTTCATCAAGTTTACAAAATAGTCCCAAGTATAGTATTGTAGTCAAAACTTAGAATTGAGATTTACTTAATTGTCATTTGAATTCGTAGGAATTCTGGAATATTTGAAGTCAGCTGATGAGAGCCTTCATTTTTAAACTGTTTCTTAAATCAACAAGTGGGCATGAGATAAAGTTAATGGTATATTGATATTTTTTTTTATGCTCTAATAAATCTTCCTTTGTATAACAGGTGGCTAGCCTCAAAAATTAGCTAGTGAAAGAATGTCTGATCTGTGTGGATTTTAAAATACATGTATCTTATAACTGCATAGATAGAAGGATGGTCAGAGTTGGGTTTGGTTATGGGGAGTTTCTTGCAGTGTCAGAAATTAAATCTGCAATCTTGCATACACTGTATAACTTCCTGCGAGGTTTCAGTGATATAGCAGGCTTCTTTTGAAGCAGCAAATGCTGGATGCTATCTCTTCAGATACTATGCTTAGTGGGAAAGCTAGCCCTAGAGCTTGTGGACAAATGAGTCCCAGACAGATCTGTGCACTGTAAATTACATACACTTGTGTGGGTAAATGTTTTGAACCTGACAGAAATAAAAAATATATAAAGATTAGCCACTAGAAATAATAATGACCAGTTGAATGGAAATAAGGGTGTCAGTACAATACATAGTAATTATAAAAAGCCATGAACAATTAGTGTATCTTCTGATCATGTAGCTGTAGGTTCACTTGTAGTACCTGTGTATACATTTGAAACGTGAACAT